GTGTGGAAGACGACGAAGACTTTGAAGAACCAGGTGTGGTCAACATCAGCACTCTCCCCGGCATGGCTTTACGCGTGAAACGTGGTGGGACGCGCTGCTCGGCTTCTACGCCTCGACGGACGGCGACAATAGCATGACATTGACCCCCACGGTGCGCGACACCGCTATGCGGGGTGTCGTGGCAGACCTTCGCTTCTTTGGCAAATGTCGATGCACTGGTTCAGTTTTATCCACATCCCCGCGGTTCTTCGCCAACGTATTTAACCCCGAGCGACGAAGCAAGGTGCAGCCCAGTTTGATACTCAGCGCCGCGGCGCTGGCAATCTTCTATCAAGGTTCGGAAATGGAAAATGGGTCCCAGGGAAGGCTTCGGGCGCTGCAGTTGCTTGATCAAGCCCATGCGATGTTCCAGGCCAGCCTGAGCGCCGGGTGGGTGGACGTTGGGCTTGTCCAGGCAGCATGGGTGCGCCGCTCTCTATGTCCTGAAGCTGCGAGAGCTAACTTGGCCTTAGCTGCTTGCCGTGTTCGAACTCCAAGCCCACCCGAAGGCATCAACTCAGCGCACACGCTCGGTATTCGACGTGCTGGACTCGCTCATCCGGAGCCTCGGGTTGACGACTCTCGATGCAGACGATCCACGCACCTCTATCTTCCTCCCGGGCGCCGTGCCCGTCGTCCCTTCCCCTCCGCCAACTCCCCAGCCTGACTTCGGGATTGATCTTGACACCCTCGGCCTCCCGTCCATGATGCAGCAGCTCCCGACGACGCCCTACCTTTACGTGCCCGCCACCCCTTCTCCTACCGCCCACTACGTCCGTATCCCCGGGACACTGCGCATACGGTACGAGACTCCGGTCGAGAAATGGCACTGCGGCTGCGAGCTGTACAGTCTCAACGTGGCGTGGCCGCGCGTGAATGAGGTCGCACCCACGCTCGCGAATATGCCCATGTGGCTCGAAGACGTCAGCGAGGGCGAACAGCTCAAGGAGGAGTGTCGACGGCTGGTGTGGGCGACGGTGATGCTGACGGCGTCGCACAATACGAAGTCGACTGCGGGGACGGACGTGGAGCCGCAGCACCTGTGGATCAAGGATCCAGCGAACGTACGTGCCCCTCTTATATCCCCGGGCGCGGTGTGAAACTGACGCCCAGGTCTAGTATGCGCTGCTCTTCCCAGGGGAAAACTTCGAGTCGCTCGGCATGGGCGGGGTGGCGACGTCGAAGTGGTCCGCGTGGGCGTTGTACATCCGGGTGCAGTTGGTGTGGCACTCATGCCTCCGCGTGCGCTCGGACCCGCTCGTGGCGGACTCGCAGCGCGCGCAGTGGGCGTCGACAGCGTGGCTCGAGCTCGACGCGATCGAGGGTGCGATGGACGCGCACTCGTGCGGCATTCAGAGCGGTATGATGCTCCAGATGCGCGAGTTTCTATTCAAGTGAGTGTCGGGGGCGGCTCGAGGAGGTTGGAATAGGCGCGCTGATGTGCCTCCGCACCCGCAAAGCACCCGAATGCTTGTTTCGAACGATTTCAGGAGATTTATCCCCGAGGCCATGACGTGAGTTTGTGTCTCGTGGTAGACAGCGCGGTTCTGATTGAACGTAATGGTCAATGCAGAGCCTCTAATATGCAGTTCTATCACGACAAGGCCGAAAAGTGGAGTGCGTAGCCCGCGTCTGTGACAACCTTCCAACAACTGACCCTCCCCACCACAGTGCGGTTCATGCTCCACGTCGCCAACGACATCCGCGACATGATCAGTGCCGCCGTGCAAGGTGTCTCGACGAACAACTCCAGGCGCTGCTTCCTGATGTACTGGTACATGTCCCAGATGATGCGGTGCGCACCCTCTCCATCTCCCCCGCGTTACCCTGGCGGCTGACGCCTCCCCTCGCAGCGCGCTTGCGCTCTGGCACGCCGACCCAACCATAATTGTCGCGCTCGAAGTCGCAAAGGCGTTCGCGCCGTGCGTCGAGTACATGATGATGCTCTGGCCCTCACCCGGTGCGTCCCCCGCTCACCCCCCACGCTCTCCAGCTAACCCTTGGATGCGCGTATAGGTCAACGCAGGGAATACGAGGGCATTCGCAACTGGCTCGTTCGCTCGTGCGAAATCGCGGGTCTAGGAGCACCCACGCCCGTGATCCCGCTGCCCCTGCGTAAGCAGGCTCCGGTTTTGGACCAGCCATGGGCACCGTTGGAACTGTGAACTGGCGGACAGGTCATGGTGGCGAGGCTTCGGTACATGCTATGTAAGTTTGGATACGGAACCTCTGCGTTTGGGCTCTCGTATGTGTATGAATAGTGCGGGTGTGTTGGACCATTAGATCTCCATTACACGCAGATTATGTTGTGATGCTATGATGACGCTTTTGTGACTGTGATCACACGATTGAAACAGATGGATAGCTCGGTGCATACAACCTGGCGAAGTTAGAACTACTACATGTACTGCACGCTTACCATAGGGCTCTGCCCTCGAGGGCGTTAAACGAGGACAACAACAAAAAAACCTGGCGAAGTTCTATACTATCCACCTTCCTAGGGCCTCGATTCGGCCTTCGGCGACTTTCGCAGTTCATGCACCGTAGAAGGATCATGTTCTACCGCATACGCCATGCAAATCGGGGCCACATGAGCCGCTGCTTCAGTTTCGTACCGCAATGTCCGAGACCGAGGAAGAGCTGCGCCGGAGAGATGTGGCCCCGCATGGCTTGTGAATACGTCGTGGGTGGGCATTCAGGGACACGTGGAAATGGGCGGAAGAGGAAGACGTCGCGGTTGAAGACTGTCAGCCTCAATGGCTGGCCGCTGAAGGGCTGCTAGAAAGCCGAGAACGTCTGTCATGAAGAGCCAAGTGCTGCAGCAAGAGTCTCTCGCAGCTCCATGACTACATACGGATCTTCGTCCACCACGTGCGCCATGAACGCCGCTCCCGTCGGGGCCACATGCGCCGCTGCCCCGGTCCCGGATTGTCTTGAGGATATACAGAAATCTTGGAACAACCGCGCGGCGCCACTGAGATGCAGTATATGCGCGAGCGCACAGTGCATTCGCAGCAGCTCCGGGTTCGGCAGCGCCTTCTGCATCCACGTGGAAGTATGGGGTACCGCGTGCTCTGCGTCGAGCGCGGTGAACTCGACGCTGTGGTCTACGAACGCGATTTGGCTGCGGTTTGGGCGGCACCCGGGGTAGCGTTCATTGTCTGGCATGTAGCGGATCTCGTAGCAATTGGGTGTCTGAGAGACTGCCAGTATCACTCAGGCTGTGTCCATCCGGAGGCAGCACGTACCTCCGTAGCCCTCAGGCACCAGCTAAAATCGTGGAAATTGTCACGGGGATACAATCCCAGCGATAGGATATTCTGCGGATCGTCGGTGTCATTGATGGCAGCTTCGAGAGAGCGTGCCACTTGGCAGTAGTCGTTCAAAATGTTCAAGGTGGACTCCAGAGATATCTTGTGAACGCATTACACGACTGCTCTCAGGAATAAGCGGGAATGACTCACCTGAGCATCGATGGACCTATCGTGAAAGGTTAGGAATTCAGGCCTGAGGATGTGGGTTGGTTCTACAGCGGCCATCCGGGTGGCACCCCTCAATATTACATCGGGGGAACATTTAGAGACCACGCCAGTGAAGCTGCACCTGTACCCGTCACGAACTAGGACCTGCAAAATGCCACGATGAGCACACTTCGGATCACCAGTTGCGGGTCGAGGATCACTCACCGACTTTCTTGCCCAATGCGCACGGTACCTCGCCGAATCTTCCGCAGTCTTCGGCGTGGCAGGCGTCGATATCTTGTGCTGATGACGGGGGTTTTCGATGTCCATGTGGGACAATGCGGCAACTGTAGATACAGTGTCGGACGACGCGAAGATCTCGAGTGGGCGGAGTACTCACAAGGCCAAAGCATGTACGCCGCCCACGTCGAGTGGCTTGCTTCTCCAAAGCCATCGCCAGACATGCCTCTCTCTCGCACTCGGGTCTTGTAGCCGCTTCCGCCGCGCACTTGAAAATGGCATCGAGGACGTACCGCCGTCCTTGGATATCGGCAGCGGCGCACATGGCGGCAAACATCGAGTGGGTGGTGTAGACCTGGCGAGCACGGCAAGTGGGCAGATGATCGACTATTCTGCTCAACCATGGTGGCCTATTATACGCCTCAAACTGCGGCAGCAGTAGGACGTCGAGATATCTCTCCGTATCGTCCTGAGACATGTGCGTCGGGCAAGTAAGGGGTGGTGGTGGTTGGAAAAACAAACAGTCATCGGCGTCTCTCGGCTCTGCTGCTCGACGAATGCAGGAGGTTCGTGACACTCGTCCTACGCGTTTCTCAACCGGGCGCGATAACGCCTACAAGTTGTACAGCTGCGTGCAGAAAGCTTGTCCAGGCGCTGAAAAACGCGACGCGCGTCGCGAGAAATGGGAAATTAAATCGAAATGGTCGAAAAATCGCCAACGGTGACGCGAGCGCGTTTCTTCTCCCCCTCTCCCTCGTTAGATCCCCCCGACGTCCATAGAATGTTGAAGAGCGCATCAGGCGCGTGTTTGGGTATGGTATGACGCTTTTCCGCGTCCTCAACGGCCAAGCTGACGTGTTTCGCGGCAGACTGTGGTCTGGTGGTGGTACACGACCCGTCTGCCACCTTGCCACCCCTCGAAACGTGTCTGACGATGTATAGGAAGCTGAATATATTCTTATGGGTGAGTTCTTGGGCAGTTTGACGTCTGCTGCGCCACACCGAAGACGTCATGTACTCCCCGTGACCGGAGCCTACTTCCAGAATCGTGGGCGCAACCACATGGTCCCTGATTCCAGACGGCCTCTCAAGTTTCGCATAAGTAACAGGTGCCTATTGAACAGTTGGTGTCGCTCGGAGGGCTGGGTGAACACTCGAATGGCAAGGCGAAACTGGAAGGCATGTACATCCTACAAGTACTGTGCATCCCCCTCTATCTATGGGTTTATGAGAGCCCTCCAGCTCGTTACCACCCAACCAACTGTTCCGCGTAATGAGGACTTGAAGCATCCTCGTGACAATGAAGCTGGGAGCACGAAGCGAGGACGGCAGTGTCTGTGAGAGCGCGAGCTGCACCGTGAACCACCACGGACTCTCCCAATGTAGCCACAAAAATCTGGGCATACAAACGTCTTACGCCATAGATCACAGCGACAGTATAACTATGCTGTGACGACAGGGGGGACGCATGATATCAATGGGGCACTCACCGAAGGCGGCATCCTCTCTTGAGCACACGTACCCACCCGCTCCTGCACCTCCGCCAACGCCTTCTCGACAGTCGCCATAGATGTGACAAGTTCCTTGCATCGCAGACGCATGCTTCATGGGCACGATTTCAGCCTCGGGGTGGCTCAAGGGGCGCCAAGGTGGCAGACGGGGATAAGATCGTCGTGTACCACCACCAGACCTAAGTCTGCCGCGAAACACATCAGCTTGGCCGTTGAGGACGCGGAAAAGCGTCATACCATACCCAAACACGCGCCTGATGCGCTCTTCAACATTCTATGGACGTCGGGGGGATCTAACGAGGGAGAGGGGGAGAAGAAACGCGCTCGCGTCACCGTTGGCGATTTTTCGACCATTTCGATTTAATTTCCCATTTCTCGCGACGCGCGTCGCGTTTTTCAGCGCCTGGACAAGCTTTCTGCACGCAGCTGTATAATGGTATACCAAATCGCGTAATATATACACCGTCGGCCAACAAACCAGTGCTGCTCTCCCGCGAGACAGGAATCTGTCACTGAGGGCTCAACATCGCAGCAAGCGATTCACGCAGCTCCATCACCGCGTACGGATCCTCGTCCACGACATGCGCTATAAACGCTGCTCCCGTCGGCGCTACGTGGGCGGCTGGCCCGGTCTCGTAGTCGCTCCCGTCAAAAAGACAGAGCTCTTGGAACAGCTCCAGCGCACCGCTGAGATGCAACACGTGCGTAACCGCGCAGTGTATTCGCAGCAGCCCTGGGCTGGGCAGATCGACGCCGCCGTGATGGTCCTGGAAAGCTATCCGTGCGAGAGCGGTGCGGGCACCCTTGTACCGCGCGCTGTCCGGCATGTAGCATATATCATAGCAGTCGCGGGTCTGTAGTGAAGACGGTCGGGGTATGGCAGTTGGAATGAGAACTCGGGACGCACCTTTGTCGCCCTCAGGCACCACTTGAACCTGTCGAAGTCAGAGTGGTGGCCCACCCACAGCAAAAATGCGTTCAGTGGGCCATCCAGCGCTTCAATCAGCGAACCGAAGGGTTCTTCTACCAGGCAGAAGTTCGTAAGAAACGCCAGGGTATTGCGGAGAGACTCCTAATGCGGGTCCGAGTTAAATGCGTGCTCGCAGAGACGGATGCTCGTGACTCACCTCGGCGTCGACGGACCCTCTGTCGTGAAGAGGCGGTGCAAGGTTGAGAATGTGGGCGGCGCGCACTTCGCCCAACCTTTTGGCGTGGCTCTTGAGGTCCTTGGGTGCATCGTCGTCGACGACCCCACTGAAGCAGCACTTGTGACCGTCACGGAGCAGCACCTGGGGAGCATTTGGACGAGGGTAAGTACTGAGAGCCACCAGCGGATCGTTTGGGAGGACTTACTGATCTCCTCAGATGGTACGCACGAGACCTCTTTGCATCTGCATCTTCCGGAGAGGTCGGCGTATCTGGGGTCGAAGCGCGTCCGTCGTCCGCATACGCCTGCACCGCGACTGCAACAACCGGGTGTCGGCCTAACGCAAACGGGATGAACCAAGGAGGGGGAGAGAACCCACAAGGCCAGAGCATATATGCCACCCACGCCGTCGCCTGCCTCTCCAAAGCCATCGCGAGACATGCTTCCCTCTCGTGTGCCGGTCTCCCGGCGGCCTCTGTGGCGCACGCACGGATGGTGTCAGAGACGTACCGTCGTCCGCGGTCCATGCCGAGCGGCTCGGCGGTCGCGTACATGGCGGCAAACAGCGCGTGGGTGGTGTATTGCCAGTGCGCGCTGTGGTCAGGGTCCGCGTTACGGACGATTCTGGCGGCCCATTGTGGCTTGTTGTACGATTCGAACTGGGGGAGGAGCAGGACGTCGAGATACCTCTTTGCCTCGTCGGGGTTGGTTTCAAGCACTGGAGGAGAATGACAAGTGGGTACAGTCTGGGTGGGCATCTAGGGACGTGTGTAGAGCATACGCTCGAGTGGTGGAGGATAAAGGCGAAGGAGGCTCGCAACCTCTCGCGCGCGCGTTCGCTTGATTGCCCACTGACCGCGCTCGGACCGCGCCGCCGTTGTCGCCGACAATCCGAACGTTGAATGAGGAAATTATGTCGTGTGCTTTAGCTCGGTGTGTGTTGCTCGAGGTAATATGTCACCGAAGGTCAAGGACTCGACGGTCACTCATCCCACCCCCAACCCACCCCGAGTCCCGCCCAAGTGGATATATGTACGTGCTCCAAGCCGTCTGTCGCGTTGTCTACAGGAATCGTCGTGATATGGTAAGACGGAATTGGCCATGAAGTCGTAGCTTCCGGAAGGGTATGTAATGTTGTGAGGCGAGGAAAGAATATGTTGCCCTTCAACTTGGAGGACTCGACCCCTGGGCTCGCCGGACCGCCAAGGCCGATGCACGCTTGCAAGACGTCCTTGACAGGAGATGCATTGTGGTATAGGTAGTACAGCCAACAAGTCTCGAACGGATATGCATCATGCATGATCGAGCGTCGCAGCGAGAGACTCTCGCAGCTCCATCACTAGGTAGGGATCTTGTTCGACAACATGCGCCATGAACGACGCTCCCGTCAGGGCCACATGGGCAGCCGCCCCGGTCTTGTATTCCCTTTCTCCCGAAGAGGTGGAGAGCTCTCGGAACAGCTGCGTCGTGCCACTGAGATGCAGCACATGCGCGATCGCACAGTGCACTCGCAGAAGCTCAGGGCTGGGCAGATCGACGCCTGTGGCATGGTGTCCTCGTTCATGGCTGCCAACCACGCCGGACACCGACGATCCAGTGAACTCGGCGCTGTGATCCTCGAATGTGATATGCCGGCGGGAGGCGCGCGTCCCCCGGTATCGTTGATCGTCCGGCATGTAGCATATCTCGTAGCTATGGGGCGTCTGCGACGATGTGAGAACCACTTGAGGTTGGTCGAGTCGGGGGCAGCACATGCCTCTGTCGCCTTCAGGCACCACTTGAACTTGTCGAAGCCAGCAAGGGGGCGCACATCCAGCAAAAATGAATTTCGTGGCTCGTCCTTGATATCAAGAGTAGTTTGGAGGAGGCCGTCCATCTGGCAGTATTCATTGAGTATCTTCAATGTGGTATACAGAGATGTCTAGCATCCTGGGATGAATGAGGGCTCCCGGGACCGACTGTTCACCACTCACCTGAGCATCGGCCGACGGTTCGTGAAAGGTAGCTACTGCGTCATTGAAGATGTGCGTCTCAAGTACATCTCCTACCTCAGTAGCATGTCTCGATAGCTCGTCGGGTGCACCATCGTCGACGATACCGGTGACGCAGCACATCCAACGATCTCGGAGGAGCGCCTCGGGGAGTTTTTGGGTGAGGAAATTCGGGTCACCGAGCGTTGGACATGAAGTACTCACGTGTTTCCTCAAAAGATGCGCACGACAATCTACCGGTCTTCGGTCGGGCTCGGTGTGGCGGGGGTCGAGGTCTTGCCCCAATAGTTGGACCGTTCGACGTCCATGTGTGCAAGCACACCGACTGCGACGCATATGGTCGGTCGGAGGAAGTCACACAAGAATAAGGGACCCACAAGGCCAGAGCATGTACGCCACCCACGACGCCGCCTGCTTCTCCAGAGATGTCGCCAGGTATCCTTTTTTGTCATGCTCGGGTTGCCCGGTTGCTTCTGCCACACATCTGCGGATAGCGTCTGAGACATACCGTCGTCCGCAATCAAGGCCGAGGTTGTCTGCGGTGGTGTACATGGCGGCGAACATCAAATGTGTGGTGTACTGCGGGAGGGTGCGAGCGTAAGGGTGCATGCGGCTGACGATCCTTTCGGCCCATCGAGGCTTGTTGTGTGCCTCGAACTCGGGAAGCAGCAGGACATCAAGGTGCGTGCTAGCGTCGTCGGCGTTGTTGTTTTTGGCGATATGGGGACCCATGATCGTGATGGCGGAGAGGGGAGACGAGCCATGTATGTGTACAAGCGCCCTGGGCGTTTGAGGCCAGCCGCCGGGCCGCGACTGAGCACCAAACCAATTGAGGGCAAAGTGGAGCTCGGCTAGCTTGTTGCGCGCGTGGCTCAGGGTGCAAATCGAACATATGGACACATATCAGACACTAAGAAGTGGTCAAAGGCATCATCGAAACTGAGCGGAGCACGTCCTTATAACATCTCCTCGTCCAACCATCCGGCGACTAGCTATATCCTCCGCCAATTGTAACCAACCCATCACCAACGCACCACCGGACTCGCCCAGCTCCACCATCACAGGGGGATCTCCGTCCACCACGTGCATATTGAATGCTGCTCTCGTCAGGTTCGTGTGGCGGCGAATCCCCAGAGCCGCTCTGGCCGTCTTCATCAGAGTATAGCACATCCCTGTTTTGTCCACGAACTCTGGTTCTAGCGGCGGTGGGCCCTTGTGCGAGTGCGTGAGACGGGGAAACGAAGGATAACGTTTGAGACGCTACGCTTGCGCGCGAGGGCTGAGCGTTGAGGTCTTGACAGAGAGGTGCCACAAGGACGCAGAACCGCAGAGGCTGTTGCGAAACGGTTTGGCAACTTCGCTTATCGGAGCTGGAGTTCGGTGTGGGCGCAGGGTCGTGGCAGGGACCAGGACCGCGCGCGATAAAGCGGCGGAGTCCGGAGCGCGCCGTGGGCGGCTGGGAGGACGCCAGGTTGTCGACGAAGTTGGAACATCCGACCAAGACGGGCGGAGAATTGACTCGAGGTGGCGGGCGCTCGGGGAGATGAAGGCGGTGTGGGGTAGGCTTGAGCTTGGTAAGCAGATAGATCCATACGTGCGTCCTAGGATGGTCTGGGCTGGAACTGGGAGCGTGGAGGTCGCACGGACGGAGGCGCGGGAGAGACGAATGGGTGGACCTTAGGAAGGCGTGGGGTCGTGCATGGGCTCGTGGTTCTTTCGCCAGGGCAAAGGGGGCTTGGGTGTGGCCAAGTATACCGTGAGAGGGGAGAGGAGTTCGGGCGTGCGGAGGTCGTCAAGAGGCCGATGGGGTAGCCTGGGAGGAGATCACAGGCGTGGGCGTGGGCGTCGACGGCGGGTGCTGGGTGCTTGCCGGAGCGGCGAGCTGTCTGCGAAGCTTGTGCTTGACAGAGTGGGATTCTGGGAAGTCGGGACTGAGCGCCAGACTGGGGGCGATAACCATGGCAGGGTCGCTGCGGGCCCCGACGGTGGAGAGGGCGCAGAGGAGTTTATGCGACGCTTGATGAATGTTTACGGCACGACGGATTCTGGGCGATCAGGCATCTAGAGTCTGCGCTTCGAGGATCGTTGGTCGGCGGCGAGGGCGAGGGCGACGGGGTTGGTGACGAAGGTGGTGGGCGGATTCTGCAAAGGGTTCGTACAAGCAATCCAGGGACGGGAGATCGGGCGTAGCGGTAGGGAGACAGAACGGGACAGCTGGCAGCGAAGCGGTGTGGTGGGCGCGGGCGGAGGGTCTGGGACAAGAGCGAGGGTCCGAAGCGTTCCGGGAGAATGGGATTGGAAATGAGCGAGCACATGAGGAAGTAGGGGGTGTTGAGTTACGGGGAGCACGGCGCTTGGGCTGCGCCTTGGTTTGGTTTGAGGTGGAGGCGCGGGAGGCTGTTCATGTTGGCTCGAGGGTGGGTGCGGGCTGGGAAGGGAAGGTGGGAGGCGACGGAGAAGGCTGCGGCCGCAGAGGGAGGCTTGACGGAGAAGGAGAGGGCGAGGGCGAAGACGGGACGGCGGATGCTCGAGCTGTGTCGCGGGATGGGACCCGGATGGGAGCGAGGACGAGAGGTGGGGAGATCTGAGGGATCGCGAGAGGGATGGGGGAGAGAGGCGAGAGGCGGAGGCGGGAGGTTGACATGGGCAGAGCCTGAACGGGGCATGCGGACGACCAGCGGACGCGGGGTTAACGCGCGCCGGTGCACGTGCAGGCGACGTCAGAGGAGCGTGGGACGATGGGATCGGGGAGGGGAGCCAGGGCAGCGGGCGGGGGAAAGCCGGCGGGGTGTGGGATCGATCTGGATCTGGCGTTGGCGGGCACGTGGGATGGATCAGAGGACGTCGTCTTAAGGCGGCCCCAGCCCCGTCCTCCGCGCTTCTCGCCCTCTCCGCCCCTCCATCACCCCCGCCATGGCCTCCTCCACAATATACAACGTGCGTCCCCCGCCCCCGCCTCGCTCTTCCTGCTCACCCCCCACCCCCAGCACAAACACCTACAACCAACAGGCGCTGCCCCCCAGGGTCCCAACTCTTTTGCCTCCCTCAACCAGTCCTTCAACCAGATTCGCGACGAGTTCTCCGCTCTCCAGGAGCAGTGTGACTCCCTCCGGGGCCAGCGAGACGAGTACGAGAACAAAAGTGCGCCTTTTTTCTTCCCGCTCCACCCCCATCCCCCACTTAACCCTCCCCCAACTTCAACCGATGGCCAGTCAGCAGCCAGGTCACGGAGCTCAACATCATCCGCCAGTCCCTCTACGAGCTCGAGACTCAACATGGAAAAATTCGCCAGCAATACGAGGACGATCTCCGCAACCTACGAGCAGAACTCGACTCCTACAAGCGCAGAGGTGCCCCGGAGCCCCTTGGCCTCGCTTCACTAGGCCGCGACCGCGAACTCCGCGAACGCGAACGCGAACTCACCGCCCGCGAACGTGAACGCGAACGCGATGTACGCGACCGCGACCGTGACGTCGTCATGGCCAACGCTCAGCCGACGCCCCGCCCCGACGCCCTCGCACGCGAATCCCTCGGTCTCGGACGCCCACCCGTCAGCATGCCCGGTGGTCCCCCGACTGGTCCTGGTGGTGAGCCCCTTGGCCCTCTCGGTTTGACACCTCACGCCGGACCTGTCGGTCTTGGAGTAGGCGCCGGTCCCGGTGCAGGCGGAGGCTACGGCGATCCCTACTACTCTCGCGCCGACCGCGACCGCGAACGGGAGCGCGATAGGGACAGGGATCGCACCGTCCTCGACAGCCGGGATCGTG